AATTTAAAGTTGGCAGAAAGAAGACACGCGTACATCGACAAGCAAAACGAATAGTTGAAACTAAACAACGTGTAAGTATACATCATTTATTACGTCGGTTATCAAATGATATTCCGTTCGTCGTATATATATTAGTAACTAATAACGATGCTCCCTTATAGTGTGGTTAAATTTATTTCGATTTAAGCAGGTGCCCTACATTCTTACTTAATAACTTACAATTTCTTGTTCGAACGATTTTTCTCAATTTATTTAATTGATTAGTCAAGCTATATACATTGATTTTTATTTGTGGCATTTTTTATTTCACAGTTTTTATTCACAGCATCTTTCGCCCAGAATTTCCACCTTTAGAAAGTATAATTTCATTAAGTTATGTATCATCATACAAACCGCATTCAAGTTCTTACAACCAAAGAAATCTTATCATTGAACAAATTCTGAACCGAATAAAACATATTTGGAAGGAGATAATCTTCCCCTTACATCTCGGCTTATTTAGTCGTATCCAAAGATAATTTCCGTTTTCTTAGAGCGCACAATAGAAAATCGAGTAGTAGTCCAGAGAAAATCGAAATATTTTAAGATGTCTCACTCGATATTTGACGAAGTAAAAGTATTCGAAGATACGGACGAAAACACAGACGTAATCAAAAGTTTCATTAAAACAGAGCATGAATCAACGGAAGAACCGTTCTGTGTTCTTGATGTTGCCGATGTGATGCAGAAACATCAAAATTGGATCGCGAAGATGCCAAGAATTGTCCCACATTATGGTAACATAAGAGTTCTCGATCTCGAATCTATTAGTCTGAAATGTTCCATTTCTGTTATTATAGTACATCTGATAATTCAGAAGTATTCAAAAAGATATGTCTTTTTTCTAGAGAACGTCATATTAATGTTATTATCGTATCATTCATCAGATATTATTTGTATCACTCAGGCATAAAATTTAGAAATAACGTAATATTTTATTATTAATTCGTAAAATTCAAATATAACATTGTCTGCAAATTATATCAAAAGGATGTAATTTTAATTAATGTAAAGGATGTAAACATTTTTATTATTAATTAATATTTTCTGTTATTAAAGACAGGTGGATTTTTTTCGCTTGAGATAATGAAATTAAAAGTGAAATCAAAATCTAGAAATTATTGTATACAAGAATATGTAACTTATCATTCATTCTTAATATGTTTTCGTATTTTAGCCGTCAAGTGCAATGCCGATCCGTTTCTCCTAAAGATTTTGGCAGTTATGAATGTCAATTTCGATTGTGCATCCCAAGTATATCTTCAACCAATTTTTCTTAAATGATACAATATTATTATAGTTACATCTACATGCAAAATACGTTACGTTCTGCCACCATTTTTTTTAGCAAGAAATACGAGTGGTAATGAAACTAGGAGTGTCTCCAAACAGGATAATCTTTGCGAATCCGGCTAAGTGGACCACCCATATTAAATTCGCCAAAACGATGAATGTAGAAAAAATGACCGTCGACAGCGAGATGGAAATCATTAAGATAAAGGACATTTTTCCGGAAGCGAAGTAAGTGCAGCAGCGATAAATCAGATTTACTTTAATGAACTATACGATATTTTAGAACGACTTCATTGAAATAATCTTTATTATTTTTTTCACAATCAATAGAGTAATCATTCGTATTCGATGTGACGCCAAAAATGTTCTGGTATCACTTGGAACAAAATTCGGTTGCGATCCGGACGAAGAAGCACTTCGATTGATACATTTGACAAAAAGCCTTGGTTTAAAATTATGGGGCTTTAGTTTCCATGTCGGCTATCTATGTTCTGAATCAGACGCTTACGTTAGAGGAATCAGAACGTGTAAGAAACTAATCTCGATCGCTAAAGAAATTGGATGTAAAGACGTTCAATTGATCGATATCGGCGGTGGATTTCCTGGTAACAGAGGATACTCTATCGACGAGGTGAGCTTTTGCTAGATTTCGAATTGAGCCGCATAAAAGCCAAACTGAACAACTCCAGTTCTCATAAAGTTATCAATTTCACATCATTCAATGTTATCTATGTAGATTCACAATTAGTATTCAAATTTCATAAATTTATTATTATTTGTAAATCCCAAAAACGGTTTAAAAGGAAATGTTAGCAATTGTCATTTTTCTATGCATTTTAATTTATAAAGTTGACCAGCGTTATGCATGCGTGACTCGATCGAGACTCATACTCATTAATTCATATTTGTTTCTTTTGTTGAATCGCTGAATTGGTTAAATTTGCATTATCGTTTCGAAAACACTCAGGTGGCAAGACGTATTAACAACGAGATCGAGGACATAGACCCGAGTATCTCGATTATCAGCGAGCCGGGACAATATTATGCAACATCGGCATATACTTTGGTGTCACTCGTGCACACAAAGAGGGTTGTTCGTCAGGCGGATGGAATAGTTAGAATGTATTATATGAATTGTGGAGTGTTCAACGGTTTTATAGAGGAAATGTTGAACTTAAAAGAGAGACTACCGATACCAGTGTATAAGGTAGAATTATTAATATTCCGTATAGTATAGAATACAGAACTGGGAGTCAAATATCTCCTCCTTTAAGCCCCTGTTCAAATGATTCGGTTGATTCATGTCAAGAACTTATAGATATTATAATCTGAAAAATTTCTTACGATAATAAGTAAAGGGACAATTTATTTCAAGTTGCGCTGAAATCGACAAATTGTTTTCTTTACGCTGTGAACTTATTATTAAAGCTATATTTGGTTATATTTAGTCTAAATAACAGCTAGCATTAGCAGTTTCTAACGTTAGGGATAACCAGCTGGGTACAATTGGGCACAGGGATGAACTCTAAGTCCTATGTCCTATCGACTTCCGTATTTTATGTAATATATTTTAGCCAGCGAGCGATGCAAAATTCCTTTCATACGTTTGGGGTCCGACCTGTGACTCTATGGATTGTATCTTGAAAAATGTAATGTTGCCAGAATTTCACCAAGGTGATTGGTTAGCCTGGATGGATATTGGATCCTATAGCATATGTCTCAGTACTTCATTCAATGGTTTTGCACCGCCGAAAGTACATCCGTGTGCTAGAAAAAGCCAATGGTTGGTATAAACGTGTGGAATAAGTTACAGTAATAAATGTAAAAAGGAATTTGAAATATTCTAGATTGTTTTTTTTTAGGAAAAAATTTATTGATTACACAAAGAGAATGCAAAAATCGCAGGAATAACGGAGGCAGGAATAAACTAATAAAAACCAGTTGATATGGACATCGTTAGATATTGCTTCGAACTTAACTTTATTTATAAAATTATGCGGGGAGTTATGTATGGAATTGCAAAAATTTATGGTGAACTTATTTGATTGTAAATATAATAATATATTAGATTCCAGAATTTTAAGTGTGTAAATAAAATATTTCCCAGTCTTGTATAATATGAAAAAGACGTATGTAAATATAATTAATTCTTAAACGACGACGATTTTATTCGTGTATATAAAAAATGTATGGGTGCATACTTTTTCGGCATAGTTTTGTATGAAAATACGCAGGTTGAGTTCATCCTGAAAGACTTTCAATAATCTTAATTATATCGATAAATGTTTGAGACAAAATTTGATTGTCTTCAGGGTTATATGTCATTAGTGTCCACGTATGTGGGTAAATTTTAGGTCAGCATTGCCTCTTTCGGTAGAATCATGTATTTTTTAAGACATTAATTCATGCAGCTGGAGATTCTCTATAATAAAATTACTATCCCACTTATGTCCAGCAGCTATTAGTTTAGTCGATATTTTGGCTTTTATTTTGTAAGATTTATCGCATGAAAGACGAGGAAAACAAATATAAAAGTAGTGCCTTGCGTTTTTTTGTCTTTCATACGATAAGTTTCACAGAATAGAAGTTAAAATAACTATTAAGTTAAAAGCTTTCCGACACAAGTAAGTTAATTACTTACTAGTTTTACGGTTATAGAATATAATATCCACACTTAAAGAGAAGCTCATACATGAGAATACGTTTTCCCTGTAGCTACTTAACTTTTATCTGAAATGTTCTGCGGAATAATTAACAGTATCGAAAATACATCGTCTTCAACTTTAAGGTGACACATCCTGTATGCCTTTTTTTAGTATATAGTTATATAATAATTTCCTACTTATATCAGGTAACGTAGTATGAACAAGCAGTATGAAACTATCGTACTTTGTTTAAGGACTCGATATTAGGTGGCTCATTACTGCTGAGAGAAATGAAATATATATATTCGAATTGTTGAGAAAATAGTTGCGACAATTATACGTTATTGAAGCAACGTTAAACACATATATGATACAAACTATATAAAAGACGATCAGAAATCAAATATAAAATATAAATATAAATATAAAATATATAAAGTGGGTACAGTATTAATAAAAAATTAAAGAATAATAAGGTAACTACTATATTGTTATAAATTTAAAGTTGATAAGAAGAAGATACGTATACATTGCCAAACAGAAACAATAGTCAAAACTAAATAACGTGCAAAGATATATAATTTATTACGTCAGCTATCAAATAATATTATCTTCATCGCATATACCTATATAAATTAGTAGCTAACAATGATGTCCCCTCATATTTCCCCCAGTGTTTTCACAAAGTGAATTTTTTCAATGTACTTAATTGATCAGTTAAGCTAATCCCAATCTTTCAGATATTAATTTTTACTTGTGATATCTTTCATTTCACAGTTCTTATTTGTAGTAATTCCTCTTCAAAATTGTCACTACCAATAATTGCACTTTTTTCGTTTTGCATCATCATACAAATGGTATTCAAGTTTTTAAAATCAAAGGAAAATTATTGAACAAATTGTGAACCAAATCAAATTTATATCCGGAAGGAAATAATTTTATCCTTATGTCGCAGCTTAATGTAAAGGAAATTTCAGTTCTTCCAGAGTACACAACATCCAGGGAAAATTCGAATCTATTAAGATGTCACACTCGATCTATGACGAAGTGAAAGTATTCGAAGATACGGACGAAAATACAGACATAATCAAAAGTTTTATTAAAACAGAGCATGAATCAACGGAAGAACCGTTCTGTGTTCTTGATGTTGCCGATGTGATGCAGAAACATCAAAATTGGATCGCGAAGATGCCAAGAATTGTCCCATATTATGGTAAAATAAGAGTTCTCGATCTCGAATCTATTAGTCTGAAATGTTCCATTCCTGTTAGTATAGTACATCTGATAATTCAGAAGTATTCAAAAAGATATCTTTTTTCTAGAGAACGTTATATTAATATTATTATCGTACCATTCATCAGATATTATTTGTATCACTCAGGCATAAAATTCAGAAATAACACGGACGAAATATTTTATTATTAATTCGTAAAATTCAAATATAACATTGTCTGCAAATGATATCACAAAGGATGTAACGCATTTTTATTATTAATTAATATTTCCTGTTATTAAAGACAGGTAGATTCTTTTCGCTTGAGATACTGAAATTAAAAGTGAAATCAAAATTTAGAAATTATTGTATACAAGAATATGTAACTTATCATTCATTCTTAATATGGTTTGGTATTTTAGCCGTCAAGTGCAATGCCGATCCGTTTCTCCTAAAGATTTTGGCAGTTATGAATGTCAATTTCGATTGTGCATCCCAAGTATATCTTCAACCAATTTTTCTTAAATGATACAATATTATTATAGTTACATCTACATGCAAAATACGTTACGTTCTGCCACCATTTTTTTTAGCAAGAAATACGAGTGGTAATGAAACTAGGAGTGTCTCCAAACAGGATAATCTTTGCGAATCCGGCTAAGTGGACCACCCATATTAAATTCGCCAAAACGATGAATGTAGAAAAAATGACCGTCGACAGCGAGATGGAAATCATTAAGATAAAGGACATTTTTCCGGAAGCGAAGTAAGTGCAGCAGCGATAAATCAGATTTACTTTAATGAACTATACGATATTTTAGAACGACTTCATTGAAATAATCTTTATTATTTTTTTCACAATCAATAGAGTAATCATTCGTATTCGATGTGACGCCAAAAATGTTCTGGTATCACTTGGAACAAAATTCGGTTGCGATCCGGACGAAGAAGCACTTCGATTGATACATTTGACAAAAAGCCTTGGTTTAAAATTATGGGGCTTTAGTTTCCATGTCGGCAGTTTATGTTCTGAATCAGATGCTTACGTTAGAGGAATCAGAACGTGTAAGAAACTAATCTCGATCGCTAAAGAAATTGGATGTAAAGACGTTCAATTGATCGATATCGGCGGTGGATTTCCTGGTAACAGAGGATACTCTATCGACGAGGTGAGCTTTTGCTAGATTTCGAATTGAGCCGCATAAAAGTCAAACTGAACAACTCCAGTTCTCATAAAGTTATCAATTTCACATCATTCAATGTTGCCTACGTAGATTCACAAATAGTATTAAAATTTCATAAATTTATTATTATTTGTAAATCCCAAAAACGGTTTAAAAGGAAATGTTAGCAATTGTCATTTTTCTATGCATTTTAATTTATAGAGTTGATCAGCGTTATGCATGCGTGACTCGATCGAGACTCATACTCCACCTTACTTTATATTTGTTTCTTTTGTTGAATCGCTGAATTGGTTAAATTTGCATTATCGTTTCGAAAACACTCAGGTGGCAAGACGTATTAACAACGAGATCGAGGACATCGACCCGAGTATCTCGATTATCAGCGAGCCGGGACAATATTATGCAACATCGGCATATACTTTGGTGTCACTCGTGCACACAAAGAAGGTTATTCGTCAGGCGGATGGAATGGTTAGAATGTATTATATGAATTGTGGAGTGTACAACGGTTTTATAGAGGAAATGTTGAAGTTACAAGAGAGACTGCCTATACCGGTGTATAAGGTAGAATTACTAATAATCCATATAATATAGAATACAGAATTGGAATCCAAATATCTTCTCCCTTAAGTCCTTATTCAAATGATTCGGTTGATTCGTGTCAAGAACTATTATATAGTCGATATTACAATCTAAAAAATTTCTTACGATCATAAGTAAAGGGACAATTTATTTCAAGTTGTGTATTTATTTCAAGTTGCGCTGAAATCGACAAATTGTTTTCTTTACGCTGTGAACTTATTATTAAAGCTATATTTGGTTATATTTAGTCTAAATAACAGCTAGCATTAGCAGTTTCTAACGTTAGGGATAACCAGCTGGGTACAATTGGGCACAGGGATGAACTCTAAGTCCTATGTCCTATCGACTTCCGTATTTTATGTAATATATTTTAGCCAGCGAGCGATGCGAAATTCCTTTCATACGTTTGGGGTCCTACCTTAGACTCTATGGATTGTATCTTGAAAAATGTAATGCTGCCAGAATTTCACCAAGGTGATTGGTTAGCCTGGATGGATATTGGATCCTATAGCATATGTCTCAGTACTTCATTCAATGGTTTTGCACCGCCGAAAGTACATCCGTGTGCTAGGAAAAGCCAATGGTTGGTATAAACGTGTGGAGTAAGTTACAAAATAAATGTAAAAAGGTATTTGAAATATTCTAGATTGTTTTTTTCTAGGAAAAAATTTATTGATTACACAAAGAGAATGCAAAAATCGCAGGAATAACGGAGTGGAGAATAGATTAATAAGGACCAGTCAATAAAGATATGGTTAGATACTATTTCGAACTTAAATTTATTTATAAAATTATTTATTGAATTACAATACTTATATGATGTATTCATTTTGTTATAAATATCGTAATATATTACATTCTTCAATTTTAAATGTATGAAAAATAAAAGTATTTTGTTGGAACCATAACGTACTGCCTTATTTATGTACATTAATTAATGTGACTAATGTATGTGTATACAGAATTATGTTTATAACAATGTATTCTTGTTCATCATTTGTTAGACACTGAAAACATGTATTTTATTATAAAATTTATTTATCGTATTAATGTAGAATAAAATTGCATTATATTATTATAAGCTTCTATTGACAGAGGTTTAGCTATTGATAAATACTTTTATTAAAATAGAATGAATGGATTACGACAAATACGTTTTCCATTAGTTAATCGTAATAACTTTTCGGTATTTTACATTTTTATTGCTTACAGATTGATCTTACGTATTATCATCGTATAGAAATAAATCTTTTCTTCGTAAAATGTTGTGCCATGTCTTTGCGCTTTAAATAAATGCCATATTATTGTCGTGATTTATTATGGTTTACAAAATCAATCCACCTATATAAATAAGATTTTATGTAAATAAATGAAGCATAAAGATTAAACAAAGGAAAGTACTTTTTAAATGAATGCACTTACTCTTTTGCAGTGTTACATAAGCCTGGTTGAAGTTTACTCGTTGTTTCAGTTTCGTAAATGTCTTGTTGATCTATGATATCTTGTCGTGGATGTTCTGATTTTGCCAATGAGTCTCTTACCTTTGGAAACACAAAAATAATTATATTTTTAATGATTCCTTAATTATTGTCAGACATCGTTCTGATTATATTCTTTAACGTACTTCTTCCGCGGCTTGTAGTACACGGATCAAATTTCTGCCTGCTAATTTTTCAAGTTCCTCTCTGGTCCATTTTGGATTCACATCACTTTCGTAGATGCGATCGAATAAGTCTGGATATTTAGAAACATCTTCCAAACCTTCTGGCATTCTGAAATATGTTATTCATACTGCTATGAATTCTGCTTATTTCTATAACATTAAACTTTGCGATTTGTAGTATTGGCGTTATACTTACGATCCTACACCATCGTAGTCCGCTCCAATACCAACATGATCAGCTCCGATAAGATTACGAATGTAATTAATGTGATCTACAAAAAGGCAAATAGATAACTATTTACGATAAGGACAGTAATTTGTTAAGGATACCTGTCTTGAAACTTTAATTCAATTTTGTTAAGTGAAACAAATCGAGTGAATAGGAAATGCGTTTAATTCAATGTGCAGTTATGATAAACTTTATATAGAAATGCAATCGAAATTATCATGTGAACGAAATTAAATAATATTTCTGAAATTAAATATTACACCAAACATGAGATTGAAGTTTTTCGAATGTCATACCTACAACATCTTGGATAGTTGCGTTCCTCGAACAATTGCAATTTACAAAATTTGAATAGAAGTTCACCATTACGATACCATTGTTTTCTTTCTGAAAATGCGCGCAAAATTATATTTTATTGTTACACAATTTCATGAACCATTTAGGATAACAATAAAGATCTACTTACAACCATGTAGAGGACATCGTCAGGCACGTTACGGTAGTTACGGCAAACGCTAAAGGCAGATGAATGGGAGAACATAATAGGAGCTTTCGTTATTGAAAGTGTTTTTCTCATAACGTTATGAGACACATGCGCTAAATCGACCAACATTCCTAATCGATTCATTTCGTAGACGATAGCCTATAATTGAAATATAAAATTCATACAGTTTTAAAATGGACATAAGAAGAAGAAATTAAAGAAATTTGACGTACTTCACCAAATTTCGTAAGGTTGTGGACAGACGTGTCGTCCACCACCGATGCGTCAGCCCTTCGTTAAAAAAAACACGTTTATTAATTTTTTTGAAGTTATTTTTTTTACAGATAAAATCCTATTTTAATTTTATGAAAAGATTATTTATCCATTATCGCAAAATATATGTCTGTTAAGAAATACTTTATTTCTTCAATAGAAAATTTTACTTTTATGAATTCGATTTTCTAATCAATATTAAAGTTCGATAACATATTAAAACTTTTTGGATCGATCAAAAATGTAATATACCATGGAGTGTTGCACATATGAGTCAGCGTCATGTAACGCACACCGAGTTCGTAGTAGAGCCGGAGAACAGCCAAACTAGAACCAATAGAGTGACCACCTTCGACACCGATCAAAGAAGCAATTTTTCCATCATTCCATGCTTCTTCGATATGCTTAGCTTCCGTTACGAACTGCAAGTAGTTTGGATATCTAGCGACTAATCTTTTGATAACATCGATTTGTTTCATTGTCAGAGGCACTGCATCCTTGAATTGCGATGAGCAATCAACGTACGCTGCCCAGAACTGAAATTTATTTATACTCTCATTATTATTACTATACAAATTAAAAAAATTTAAGGACTAGAATTACACATTAATAAAACTTGGAACCTCATAATTTACTTTACTACCATAATATAAAATATCGATCGCGTTGACGTTAATACCGGAGACGATGAGAAGTATACAAACTAGTGATAATACAATCTACAGTATGATGTAATAGTATTTCCCATACATACTATAGTCTAGCAGTTCTTTTTTATTTTAGCTTATTATGAATTTTATATCTAATTGTATTTTAGCTATTAAATGGGAGGCGCTATTTATGTGCCATATAGCGAATAGCTATAACTATGTATCATATAATGGAAAATTATTGCGTGAATCATGTAGACATGAATCGATTATCGCATTTCTATAGTTTCTGATAAGTATAACTCAACGAAATGTTAACCATTAATATTTCCAGTTATATTATCAATTAATTCTCAAATATCATATATCAAACGTCATATATTAATTATAAATGAGTAAAAATAAGTTTGAAAAAGAATAAAGAGATTAACAAAATTTACGCCCGTAGAAACTACGCGCAAAACGAAATTCATGCATTATCACATGCCAGTCTGATATTGCAACAAAACGTATTTCGACATATGGTCTAAAATGATAAGAGGCTTTGTGTTAATTAACAACGAACGAAAATCCATCAGTCAATTAATCTATTTCAAGATATATGTGATAGAATGATGATTCGAATGATAATCTGTCTTTTGTACTTCACTTACTTGTGCACCTATTTTTCCTTTTTTCAAACGGACAAGATCAGTGTAACATGATTTGCATACGTCTTTACCCCATAATTCATCGTCGGTCAGGTTTTGTGTGAAGTTGAAATTGTCTAAGTTGTTGTTCAATAATTTGTACAAGTTGTAAGGCAAATCATTGTGGCTGAAATAAAGAATTAAAAATCACATTAGATATATACAAGATAAAATACAAAAAAGAAGATCTGTCTCAGTAAAGATTAGTAAATACTAATCCAATTAAATACAATAATCTGTTGTTATATTTCAAGCCTCGTATAATCATCATTTATTAATTAATACTTCAACTTATCTGCATACTAATTCACTATGGTAACAATCGATCATACCAGCCTGTAACTGATTAATAATAAAAATTTATTTATCGATATTAATATCGATAGTAGTCTTTCGCTAGCGATGCTCCCTAATTATTACAATAAATTATAGACCCAAATTATAGATAACATTTATTAAAGCGTGTATGCACAGTTTTTTTTTTATAAAATCCCTTATGTTTTCAAAAATTTTTCATTACCATTATATTAATATTTATATATTTACCGTATATTTTGTGTTTTTTATTATAATGATAATATTTCAGATCACTTACCCATCGATGAGTGGTGCCGACGTAAGAGCGTCGCTTCCTTTGAAACTGCTAATGCTTAATCCAACGCTTAGGCCAATTAGCAACAGTAACAGCGTTGAGCTCACCGCAACACTCACGTAAATCATCTTCTTCGTGCAGTACTTGGCTAAGCAGCCTGGACAACATTCAACAATAGTTACTTCGCGGATACTGACAAAGGCTCTTGTATGTTGCTGACATTATATATTACAGAGCAATCGATAATTTTCTGTTTGAATGCGCCAATGATTGATTAGAGGCAATTATACGTATCGAACTACTTGTAGTTCAGGATGATATTTGATATATTTACTTACTCACAAATTAAATTTTTTCATATCAGATAATATAAATCAGACGAGAAGTAATCTGATGTAAAACAATTTACAGATAGTATTCAATAACTTTCAGATTACATGAAATTCAATATTTAATTTCGTGATATAATTAAATACACATTTGTATGATAATTTTAATCGGTAACGCTAAAGCAAAAAGTTCATCGAACCGTACAGAGGATTTTTGTAATTGGATATGTCAAATAAACCGCATTACCCTCATTAATATCAAGTAATGTAATAAATTTGTAAATATTAATAAAAAATGATATTTATTTATTAATTTCAATATGTTATTGAAGTGAAAAAATGCAAAGCAAAATGTTTACACATTTAATGATCTCTATTATTAGATTAAATTAAAAAGATATTTATACCTAAATATGATTGATAATTTTTTACGTAATACTCTGTTATAAACTTCACATGAAGGAAGAAATGAAAAAAGTGAGGATGCCGAGGTTGTTAGTTTGTATTTGATAACAATACCGTGATAGTTTGATAACAATAATGCAATACGTTTCTTTTCAATGTTACATACATGTTTCAGGAAGGAGTATTTTATACCGAGTTTAGGAATCATAGTACTAATAGTGCATATACATGTATATTTACATACTAATATTTATAAAATTCTATCAAATTACGCACAGGTTGTTTCCTTCACTAAACTGGCCAAACTAGTTTTATTGTACTCTCAATGAGCTCTCGTAAGCAACTGACTCGCTGAGAACCCTTTCAAATCTAATCTTTACACGCACAGTAAATACAGAGGTCACTCAAAACCTAACATTCATATCTTATTATCCCTTTATCTCTTTGATTTGATTAAGTTAACCATATACTTTTTAATTTCTTGGGGTTAAGAAATTTAAATTTAAAGAATTCTCAAATTGGAAATAATTATATCGTATAAATTTTTAACGCAAATTATAATTAAAGTTTTAAATTAATAAATTACTTGTTTCTTTAAATTACTCCAGTCATTAGAATACTTTTAAATAGTTTAATGTTATTTATGTAGCGTTTATCAAAATTAAAAATACAGTAATTAATACGTCTTTACGAAGCTGTATTATAAAAATTTATTAAGACAATATAATGTTATATAGCACACGTGTACACATATAGCAGGTTACTTTATTACATAATGGAATGATATAATGTAATATAATAAACGTGTAATATATAGACATGTAACTTATTAGCAAATAGGATTAATTGTAAGAAGGATGTAATTACACGAAAATTTTCGAGTTCATTAACGTTTACAGTAGCGTAATGGAGATTTAGCATATGTGAGCAATGACAAACGATCCAATGCGTCTGTAGAATGATTAATTCACCCATAGTAGATGTAGAGTGGAACGTTTCTTCGGTGACACTATTCACTCCCATCTTCTGAAGATAACTCGTTCAGCTACGTCTTTAACGTGCAATTTCTGTTCACGCCACGCTATCTGCATATATAAGCGAACATAATAGGGTCCAATAGATTACTCTTTCATACATTCCAGATTTTGCTTCAAGATATTTATTCATATTCCTGTTTGGATTCAAAGTTCGTACGTTGTCTTCTGTTTACTAAAGTATGTCGAGTGTCGTAAATATATTACATACTATAGTAAAAAGATGCTAATGTTTCAGTTTTATGACTCTATAAAGGTATCAAGAGTAATAAACGCTGCATTGGTTGAGACAATAAGTACAGTACACTGCGTAACGTATTACGCGTGTTATATCACAGTAGCATCTGGTTTAATTTGCTAGTTACATTGATAAAAATGTAAAAATAATAGAAGATAATAAATAATTTTTTTGTCATTCGATCAGTTATTATAACATTAAACTAATTGTTGCCATATGCAATGTACGATATAGAACTTGCAAAATAGTATAATTCATTGTTTTTTTCATAAGAAGAATAAATAGTTTTGGGATTATTTTTTAATTTCTATAAACATCATATTATTTATGTACTCGATATTTTATGTAATATTGACTAATATATATGGATTGAATTGTAGTAATTAAATTTCCCGCACTTTCAATCACTAACTAGAAACAGTGAAGGAAGTCACGTGATTTATAGATTTAGTAAAAACGCTTGCTGCGTAGATATGTTCAAAGTAATATTAGTGAAGTACAAAAAATAAGAATAAAAATAGTTAATAATTTTATGCTTTCTGAGTAACAAAAATATTAAATATTAATCTAAATGCTAGTAAACATTTTTGATAACGCTTGAATCTAAAGTACTAATTGTTAATTAATGTTATAAGTGTGTTAATTTTTTTAATACAGGTAAAAATAATGTACGACAAAATTAATTTTCATAATGAATGCAATTCATAATGTGTTTTCATTTCAAATTAAATACTATAGTTAGTATCCTATTTAATGAAACTTTTGAAGTAGGTATCAAATAACCTGTGAAAGTAGTTTAAATATAATACATAAGGAAAGGAATAAACTAAATTGATAACAATGACGGACACTGTATATAAATATATGAAAACACAAAACAGACCTTATAGTATTAATGATTTAGTTTCAAATCTTCATAATGAATATGGCAAAACAGCTGTACAAAAAGCTATAGATAAATTGATTGCTGAAGGAAAGATATTTGAAAAAGTAAGATATTCATTATTAATATAAAAGTACATTAATTTAACCAAAAGATTTTTGCATCAGGTTTATGGAAAACAGAAGATCTATTGTCCAGTGCAGGATACATCTCACGATATGGATGAATTAATGAGGATGAACAGAGAATTACAAAGTCATGCTAATGAAGTTGAAAGCAAGTATCAAGAGCTTCAAGAAGAAATTAAAGTACAGGAGGCTTTATTGTTATCTATAAAGTCTTCCATTACAATCGAAGAAGCAAAGAAACAGAAAGTTAAGCTTAAAGAAAGAATTGAAGTATTGACAAATAAATTGGATGGACTAATGGAAGCAAGTGGTACTGAAGATTTAACTGAAACCAAAAGAAAAGCAGAGGAAGCACTAAATGAATATTCACGTGAATATTCAAAACGGAAACGCTTATGCACTGATATTTTAGATTGTATATTGGATAACTATCCTAGTAGTAAAACAGAGTTATACGAGGAAATAGGAATAGATCTAAAAATTGTTTAATGACACGTGTGTTATAAATTCTTTAATGTAATAAAATATAAATTGTACTTAACGTTATCAATTTTATTTTATTTATATGTGAGGTATATGTTTGTATATATATTTGTATATGTATTTGTATATGTATTTGTATATGTATTTGTATATGTATTTGTATATGTATTTGTATATGTAATAATTTAGATTAATTTATATTTTAAGCTATTTTCTAGTAACTAATAATTATTATTATAAGTCACTTTTTGTGTAATTTATAGATTTATTTATTATAATACTTTATAAATGATAAAATTATTTATTTATATTTGCAGATGGTAATGTACGTCTCTATAACTTACCGTAACATATGGATTTTAATACTTTCGTATTATACTCTATGTGTATTCTATTCATACACATTGTCACTTGATAAAAATTATTCTACTTCATTTATATTACTTTAATAAACATATTATTATTTAATATTCAATTTCTATTTTTTATGCAGAATATTTTTCCTCCATTATTTCTATTTCTCTCAGCACATATCATTCATTAAGGTATATCTATTATAAGGGAAATAGAATATTTTATATAAAATATAATGGTGTATATAATTGTTATATAGAGACATGCATAACATACTCCACCATAGGATTTTTTATATCAATCATTAAGAAACATTAATTTTTCTGTCAACAACTGTCTTATCACCATGGCTCTTGATGATTCGTTATAAAGATATACTTAGCTGTATCTTCATTAAAATAAGTTATCTGAATTGATACATGCATTTCAATTAATTTAAAAAAGAAATTTATATGGAGTGTATATTCGAAATTCCTATTTGCAAGAATAAGATTTGCGATATGCTAATAATAATTAATAGTTAATTATTAGAGACATATCTGTTTATCTAGGATCTGGGGTATATAGTAATTAATGTGACCAATACAAACATTACAAAATCGATTTATATGTAAATGTAGTTAAGAGATAATAAAATTAGTTGTTAAGGGATAATAGATCAATCCGAGACTGTTAAGAGATAATAGTAGAATAAGTTGTTAAAGGATAATAGATCAATTCAGGATTGTTACATGGTAGTAGGTCTTAAGTACAATAAAGTGGTATATATTTCTTTAGAAAAGCCTTATAATAAAAAGAATATTAATAATATAATAAAGGAATGAGAAAACTATAGTCGATCATTTTATTAAATTGACATTATACAAAAAAAAGAAACGAGAAAATTTTCTAAAATTTGTCTTTCAAATATGTACATTTGTATCACAATATATTATATCCAATGAATGAATACTGTCTACAAATATTAAATTATCTTTTCCCAATTATCAACACTTAAACATAATAATATAAAATATAAGTAGTTGAAACATATCTATACTATCAGAGACAGTCCAAAGATAATTTCAGTATTCTTTTAAGAAAATTGTCTCAGTTTAGCGATTTAATTTGTATAAAAGATTCACAAAAATAAACTAGCAAAAAGGGAACGTACGGTTCCATCGTATAATCACCATTTATTTGCCTTGCACTATAATTTTCATTATTTTAGGGGAAGCTCGTTTTTTGGCGTGCACTTGCGCGTTCGTACTAATACGCATGTATCGTATTTCTATCGTAACACAAAAGTCTCCCGCGCGATGCATCGAATAAATATACGATCGAATCTATCAGATACATTGATCGAACATTTTTGTTCGTACTCGACATATTTATAACTTCACACCTGTTGTCTGTACAAAGCTCCTGCGGTACTATCGTAAACAATTATCGTATCGCGGAATTATTGCATCAGAAAAGAAGAAAGAAAGAAGACAAGAAAAAGAGAAGAGAAAGTAGAAAGGACGAAATTATACTCTGGGTAACACAGTGAGATTATGTAACTACTTAATAAATTGAATTATACATTCGTTTTTCATGTGGTTTCGACCGGGAGCGCATTTAAGAACTTGGTAAGATGTCCGTCTTTTAAAGATAATGCTGACCGAACGACATCGTAGATCACATGATTCGTCTAAGTCCCAGTCTCTCAATGGAGAATATGGTCTGCTCGATGAGCTGAACGCGTGCTGAGTGCGCGCCGAGTGTTCGATTTCGGATCTGTGGTGGTCTCTGGATGCGTAGCCACGTGAACTCCTTAACGAACAGGAAGGACTACGTTCAAAGTTGCACATCAAGCGGCGCAGATCGTCTTTAGGGACGCGCAGCAGCGGCTTTTCGCAGATTGCAAATGGCACAGCCATGTCCTCAGCCTGTCAATCAGCTCCGCGCAATCTGACCCCACGTCCGTGCACTCATCGTCCTCTGGTTCTAAAAAGAAATATAATCATCAATATAAAAAATTCGGTATTCACACTGGGATGTAATGTTTATTGTAGGTGTGAAAATATACGATTGAATTTAATGTGTAGATGGTTTTACAGAAAAAAAATTCAAATTAATACGCTACTCGGAATTAGTAGTGTACTACTAACCAACCAGTAATATTTTTCTGTAAGAGTGATTTCCAGGAGTTAAGATTTTAAACTAATATTTTTATGTGGAAGTTTTTATGGTATTAAAGGAAATATTTTAGAATTCAAATACGTGTGTATTTGTTATATTTGTTTAAACAAATGTTAAGAATAGCTGTGAGGAGTTTCAAGAATTTATGCACACCGTTAGTAAAGTAAGACACAAAACTCATTACTTAATAAAACTCGTATAACACTTCAAGAACATGATTGATGTTTATGTTTAATGTATAATATTATGTACAAGTAAAGAAAACTTGAAATGAATTCTAACAAATATGTTGATATAAAACATTCACCCAGAAGCCGAAAACAATTACTCCAATGAACAGAAAAAGACACCAAGAATTCAAAATATACATTTAACACAAGATTCGTTACCCAATGGAATAGCCGTAGTACATACATGGAAATATAAAAAAAAAGGAAAACAAACGTCGGTAAAGCTGTACAGAGAAACGAAAGATATTCACTGTCTCACAAGTGAATTGCACGAGTCAGACTACGAGGAACTCTGACGATGAAAAATGCGACGTGTCAGTTTGTCACCATTTTAAATCACTTCGTAGCGTTTTAACGGCTACGCTATTCATTAACAATGATTACGATAAATGGTTGAATACATAAAGTAAAATAGCAGAGAAGAAATGGAAGAACGCCTATGTATAATAACAAAAATACTTAATTTCATCGTATATAAAATAATAAGAAAGATGAAGCAAGAAAAATAGAATAAAGCGAGAATAGACAAGAAAAATATATCGAGACGATAAGGTTTAATCAGATGATCGACAGAAAAAATAAAGAGAAGGTTCTCGTAACTCGAGAAGAAAGCGAGTATCGTCGTCTTTTGATACAGATTTCTCTTACCGCGAGCATCGTTTTGAGGCCCGTTCTGATCCTTTTCGTCTGCTGTTGCTAACACCATGCTCACCGTGCCCTTATGTCTGAACGGGCTAATTTTCGGATAATTCAGATCGTTGATCTTTGATATCGGACTAACTGTATAGTACGAATAATTCCTAGTAGTAGTACCACCAGCGTATCCGTTCTTACTATAACTAGCATCGTTACTAATATTTACTTTAGTCTTGTATTTATTGACGTACAGATAACTGGCAGTGGTGTAGGTGTATTTGGTCGCCGGGGTAGTGGCGAACGATGTGACGCGTTTGTAAGGATTGCTCGTCGACGAGAAGAGATTCGACGACGGCGAGGAGTATTTAAATTTCGATTGTGGCGTGCTGTATGTCGTCGATTCCCACGGATACCTGTGTGACATAGCATTATGGGATTATCGAAGGGACCAGGTGATCTGTTCGGATTACTCTCGAAAATTCGGAAAATATTTGCTATTTGATTAGGCGGTCGCCAAACACGGGTGAAAATTGTTGTTTATTAAACAAAGTTGAGCATTAGAATCTTTGCAGTGCGTGTTATAATAGTAAATATTTGAACGACGATTTGGAAATGCATGCTGATTACCTGAAACATGTTTACTAGTTATGATAATAATTACATATTTTGATAAACAGAACGAAGAGACATCGAAGTGCATTAATTCGATTATCTTATCTGAATGATAATTATTTACATATTGCCAACTATAACGAATGCCACGAAATTATAGATCCTTAAATAATATTTATGTAGGTTTTACGTATATTCAGAATATTACCTGTAGTCTGTGTTGTTATATTGAGCATACAGAGGCCGATTGTGGGCTGTCGGGTTGAAACTGCTATCTCGGCGCACGTACGTTGGAATGTTTTGCGTATAATCTGGGATAATATTTTCGTGTTCGGCCACGCACTTTCCGTTTAGGCAATACTACAATTTTTAATAGGATCACAATCAACAGTTTGATAAAAAGGAAGCAGAATAAAATATTTTTTCCCAATTCTTAATATGACATATATATGTTACAAATTCGTCGTACGAATCACTTTTATTTAAATTATTTACCTGGCCGTCTCCGCAAGGAGAACCTTCGGCCGCTGGACGATATGCCACACAATATCCTGAGCCAGCGTCAAAGCAAAATAGTTGAGCACAAACTCTGTCGTCTTTCTAAAACGTGAAATAATCGTTTCATTGACATAACACCAACGATGCAATGGATAAAAAAGATACACGTTGATCGACGTTGTAATGCAAAGCTTACGAAACAGGCGCTCGTTCCACGATCTTTCCGACATTGCGCATCCAACGAAAGAAGCTTCCCAGGTAAAACTCTAGGAAGAGCTTCGTCTTCGTGAGGTGCGTTGTACAAACACGTTGCTGTGTCGCCGCTGGAATAGAGATATCGATACATCATTTATTTGCATATAATAACGAATTCAAAAAGTATTAATAAAGTAATACCAATTATTTTAAAAAATTAAGGAAGTTCATTTATTCTACGGAGATTTAATTGAAATAATATTGAAGACAGAGGTTCATAAATCACGAACGAATGAATCATACTTCAAGAAATGATGAAACGACGATACGCTGCAATGGGACCACTTAAAGCCTTTCTCTGTGTGTCTGAGATCGCTCATTATGTAGCCATCCTCCCAACGACATTTTTCGGCTCCTGGTCCTCCGAGATAGCTAGGTGGCGGTGAGCCATCGTGAACTGCGCCCAGCCTACGATATTCGCATTTCAATGTCATTTTACGTCCCATTCAAATCAACATTTTTAACGCAAATCAATATTATTTTTAGGGAACTATGTTTGCTACAAATTTCCAACAATTTGGCGAAAAACAAACAAATGTAAATGAAAACGTGAACTTTATTCGGTCGAAGAAATTTCTTTCTACAAATCATGAAAAAATAAAACAGAAATAGGCTAAAAATTAAAAGCAAAGTTCACGCAACCAGTTTTTACCACTAATATCGAATAAAATGATTTTTCTTTAATTTTATAAAATTTATTCAATTTTAATAGCGAAAGACGGTCACGTGAATTTTGATTTTAACTTTTGGTCTATCTCTGTTTCATTTTTTCATAATTTATAGAAATCGATGTTTTGAAAAGTAATAATGATTTCTATAGAATGTTAATACATTTTTTAAAAAGTCGAAATAATCAGAATTGTCTTATACGATTAAATTTGTGTTATTGATGAAATTTTACAAGTTACAAGGTACAAATTATCAATGTTAACAAAATCTCCTTATATAACAGTAATAAGTTTACTAATAAAACAAACAAAATAAATGAAAAATAAAATAATCTATCTCTGACTGTTCTATAATATTTGACTGAAAATTATAAAATTGTAAAAGAGAAGTTTACGTTGTGCAACTCGTAACTTATCAATTTACTCGTTAATTTAAATAACTACAATTTACAACACGATTTTCGAATTTTCTATAGAAATGACAAAATATTCAAGCGATAATGGACTTACAAATGACCAACTTCGTGGGCTGCAACGATAATTCCGCTAAATCCGCCTGTGTCTTCGATAATAGCGACCGAATTCACCTTTTCCAGACGCTTATTCACGACACAAGCTCCACCCACATACGCGAATCCTGAATAAAGATACATGATCACTTTGGAACGTTTTCCGTCCTTATGTACAGGGTGTAAAAATGTTAATTGAAATGTTAATGGCACTACTAAGTTCGTTATTCGATATGGACTAACAAAAAAGCTGCATTTTTAGCAAGTTAAATTAATACTAGTAATACGAAATACGTGAACGTATCTTCAATTTTGAGAATGTAAAATAAGAAAGTAAAAACTCGACCTCAATTTATTAGTCTATACTATAGTAATATTATTAGCGTTATTACATATACTTGATAGAAGATAAAAAGATTTAATCATTTTTAAGGTAGTTTTAAAGTAAGTCAATATTGGCAAATTCTTATTATTATTTCATTTGGAAATAAGTTATTAACAACATCATTAACAATAACAAGTTTGCAATATCTGCTGAATATAATTGCCATTAAACTAATTAACTGCAGATCAAATAAAGTCATTTATACAGTCAATTCTCGGTTTAATTCACGATCGATGTATTAAAATTTACCACTTAAATAATTAAAACCTCAACGTCGTCCAATCAAGTATAAAATCTCCAATTCAAATGCCAATACATTCTTTTCTAATAATGAAACTCTATCGCGATTAGATAGCAAATGTGAATGTTCCGAAATAATCTGTCGTATTTGAAGCAAGGCCGAACTACATCACGATTCTGATCAATCTTAAATAATTGTATCGAATATTATATAATGTTGAACCGGCAATGTAGAAACGTGAATGTACATATCGTAATTGAATCATATAAAATAACTGGATCAGTGGTGCAAGACAACAACGATATTTTGTAACTGTATTACGAACAATCACAAGCCATGTTCTAAATCTAACACAATAGAGTATTACGAAACTTCTAGTATAGCGTGAGTCTTTTGGAAAGTACATATATATTCTAAACTATCGTTGAAAGTTGGCTGGATTAATGACTTGAAATTTGAATATACTATAATCGAAGCTGCGATCGTACCGTGAAAGGAAATTCAAATTCGATTATGAATGCACTATGTCGAAAGAACAACTGTATCGTGATAATTCAAGTTTGTAGATATCGTAACGGAATCACGACTTGATCGCTAATATATAACTGCAGTTTGAAAGTGCTTACTGCAAGCAACCGTATTGCGACTGCATTGGCAACGTGAATTAAACTTGAATTATGAAATCATTTGGCTATCCATCAGTCGTCCATTCTCGAAGATCGTCCATTCTCAAAAACGAAGACACGTTCTTTGGTAAGATGTTACCAGTACTGTTATTAGATACGAAATTCTAGCAAATATTTAGCGGCAGTATTAATCTGTTTAATTAAATACTCGTTTAGTAAGAGAAAGCTGGAAGATAACTTGGCTTTTTCTTAGATTGGCACGACATTCCTTAAAAAATTTTTACACAACTTTTTATGCTCTTTTGCAAAATACCATGTACATTAAATACGTATTTTCAAAATAATTCTAATATATTGCGTATAACGAGAATCGAACATGGTTTTGGTATGGCCATGGCATTTCTTCAGTTTAGCTTTTATACATTGCAGTGAAATTTGCACAATTGTTAAACAATGCCTTAATACGTCTTTTGAATATGTATTTGAATATAAATAAAACAATAAGATACTATATTCAAAAGAAGTATTAAGGTATTATTTAATAATTGTGCAAATTTTATTGCAATATACGAAAGCTAAGCTAAGCTAAACAAATACGTATACATGAAAATATCCAAAAATAGTACAAATTTGATGAATAAAATTTAGCTAATGACAGAGACGTAATACGTTTAATTTATTACAGGAAGATTAAACGCAGTTTCAAATAACTCTGAATTAATCGCATAAATTTACTCTATTTGGCTACTAAATGAAATTTACTATACTGAATTTATTAATGTATCCGAGATGCAATCTGAATCATGTGGTCGAAACTTTTGTTTTCGTAGGAACTTTTTAAGAAACGAGTGCCCATTTGAGAAAAGATCGTAGCTGATTAATAGAGTAGCATGCAGCTATTAATTTACGTCGATCGATTAACCGAGGATTTCGAAATAACTTAAAACTTCATCTACCGTGAAGATCGATTTAAAGATCGTGTTCCCTCAACGAGAATTTCCAGTGTTGGGGAAAAAGGAATAATCTCTGCGGTATTAATCTCTACGATATTCCTTTGTTCGGCTTATTTTTCACTTCTAACGCGATTCTCGATCGCTTCGACTTGAATAAACTTACCAACCGTGGTCCTCGTCAGTAATGCAGCCAAAGAAACAAGAAGAAGGTGTGAATGATTCAAAAGAACGACATAGCGAGTGTGAAGATGATAAGGATATACTGCCGTGTTAAGTCAAAAGGTCGCATCGGCACACTTTCGTTTAAATCAAACCATTGCCGCCAAGTAGTAGACAAATAGTTCATCTATGTATATATTAAATAAGAAAGTTGTGTTTGCATTGAAACTAAAGATAGAAGAGTTTATATTTCGGTTGTTACGTGAAATCGATACCTGGTTGTTAAATACTAAAAGTTATTTTTTACTAAATACTAAAACCATTTTTCGACCGGATACGCCTACTCGAATTAATACGGCAATATAAAAGTAGATATATTTTTCAAATTATTCTTAGACCAACGAGGTACCATTAGGATCGAACGATCAATTTGATAATATTCCGTGGTAAAGTGTATATAGAAAAGTAATTGCAAACGATCGATTGTACAAATGCCAAGGTCGTGTACGATTTATGTACATACGTGTGTACGTGAAACACAAACACACACACACAAAATAGGAAACCGTAGCCACTGTGCAAAAAAGTGAACGAACAGAGAAGATTTAAAAACGGAAAATTGTGGAATAAGAAATTTTTTTTACTTTTTAAACCTCTTTTCTCTTCTTTTTTTTTTTGTTTAGGACAGGCATAATACCGTTTTCGTTTTCGCTCGCATATATACGTTCACAGTGAGAATCAGGAGAGTGAAAGACAGAGTGACAGTGTAAGTGAAGGAGAGAAAGGCATACTTGTATCCCAGACTAAGAAAGGTGAGATCCAGAAACAAGAAAACACGCGTGGCAAGCCGCGATAGAATGTTTCACGCTCAGCTCGAGGGAAGTTTTGATCGGTGTTTTTTGTCCAGCCATTTTTTTTTCTCGCGATAATCAAGTTCAAACACAGAGTGAAGAAGTTCATTCAAGCTATTAGAGTGAAAACAAACAGGATAAGTATAGATAAAAGCAACGTAGACGAGTTTGAAATGCTATACTATTCGAGGTTTTTGCAAAATGCGGCATTTTCTTGGAAATATAATTCCAGTGTTTTGCAGAGGATATTAATGTAATAACTAGTTTGAAGTAAAATCGAAACGAAATGAAGTTTCGATCGTAAATAGTAAATAGAATAAGTCGACGTTTAATTCGATACATAATTAATTAAATGTATGTTAAGAAATTAAAGCTTTTTGTAATATAATGCAGTTTCTTGTAGTTTTAATATTGAATACTTCTTGAGTTATTCAAAATATTCCATTTTAAATCGCACATTAAATTCGCAGTATGACAAAAGCACATAGAATATCTTCATTGAAAATTAAAAATAACAAAACACCGGAACAGATTTGTCCAAAAGAGCACGATTCGTGTTTTAAAATCTCGAACAGTACATGTATGTATACCACGAAAGAACTCTGGCTGTGAAAGCCTCGAGAACTTCCTTCGTTTTCAACCATACGACACATGTTTTCAGGAGGTTGCAGCGAAAGAAATTTAGATTGGAGAAGTAAAAAAAAAAAGAAAAAAACGTTCGCAGAGCAGTGCACATAGATAGATCAAAGACAATTTTCTGTTCTCGTCAATCTCGTTTCCTTCGAACTCGAGAAACGTACCTGCGGTTCCTCTATTGCACACGTCATTCGCGTATTGCCTCCTGCACATATCTAATCTGTAATGCAACAACAAAAGTTCCTCTTTATCATGTGGACTCACAATTCCAGTCTGCTTTGGACCACGTCACGGGACAATTGTTGGGAACGTGCCGCTCGTATATGTCTAATATCCATTACATTTCGGTAAACTATAATATTTTGTAGCATGTACACATACAATATTCCTATAATGGAGTCTACCATTTTTTAAATGCTCTCTCTCTCTCTATGTATATACATATTATGTATATATATTGCCTATTAAAACCATGATATTTTGTAATATATAATACAATGAGTTAGGACAATATTCGGATACTAAGGTATCCTTGGATCTATTAGCATAAGATTCTTATGATTAACGCGTGAGGCCCTTTTGTTTCTCTGATAAATGCTCTCTGATAAATAATGTAAGCAATGTGCGAAAAATCTGGCAATTTCATATCTTTTCACGTTGAATATTATAATTTCTTTACTTTGACGGTTTACTATATTACATGCATAATAGTATATATATTACATTTAATATATATGTACTAGTTTTTTAGTAGTTTCAGAATAATTTCGTATGACGCGATAACGACCTGTCTATTTTACAATAGTCCACGTGGCTATAATTCATCATTAATTAGTTAATCTCTGACAAATATAACAAAAGAACTATCTCCAGAAAAGAGAATGGTTAATTCTGCCATTATCTTGACAAATCATGATATTTCATAATATACAGATATCGCACATGAAAATTTCATAGAAATTGCATGTTTTTGAAATCTTTGCAAGACTTCACGTACGACAGACGATTAATGGTATTGATTTACGAGGAATGGCATTAACTTGATTGATAACGAAAAGCAAACACCGTGATGAAGCGATATCACACACCGTGTTTGATGTCTCCTCCTTGTTCAGCGTTGAGGACGCGGCTTGCGGAAGGCGATAGCGTGGAATTACGGTAAAGCAAACACACTACGAGTAGCGCGCGTGTAAATAATTGCCAATTAGCGAGTGTTGCGTCTCAGGTATGAATAATTACAGCCGATTCCTTTTTAGCAACTTTTGAATCGCGTTGCTTCTCGAAATCGCATGAAGGAGTGCCATTTATATATGTATTATGAACTCGACCTATCGCAGAAGATTATATACATCGTGAACGTCGACTTGAATGTTCGTAACTTGAGGCTTGAAACGAAATTTTCTTTTTACCGCTTGTATTATCTTTTAAAACGAAATATGTACAATGAGGCTTGTTATTATGATTTCCTGATTTTAACACTTTCGATACTATGCACACATGCTTATCGAATGTTGGATTAAAGAGATGAAAAGTTCGATTGAAAGGTTTAGAGGATGCATATGGATTTTGATCTTTAATTTTAATTATTTCCGCGTTTTATCGCATTCATCGATGTAGGTTTGTATGCTATAATTAGAGTTTAGTAGATCGATGTCTAATAACAGGCAGAATAAGAAAGCCAATACGCGCGCGTGTTATTGATTACATATATTAGTGTACCATTACCTCCTGAAGATCAATTCTACTGTATACTTCGTGTCTACGAGAGTAATAATGAATGTGCGCAATGTTTAGCAAGCTTATTCTTTACTAAAATAGCGTACAGTATTTTAAATAACTACAATTTGAGTATTCAACACCGTATTTACACTAGATTAAACTAAGTGCGTTAAAAGAGCATACTTTCTCGTTCGACAAAATACGAGTACAGTCTATATTTTTACATGGAGTTTATTATTTAAGAACTATTAAATCTCTTTCACTCTTGATGGAAATTATGTATATATTTTATTTGTATCTTTCTGAAAATTACTGTCCATTGTGACAGAATCTTTCAAAACAAGAAAGTACAAATATTATACTATTTCGACGAGAAAGAATGTCACTTTTGTATCGTTTATCCCCGTAAACGCATCATTCCCATCGTGGTACGCCATCACTGCACCGTCAAAAACTACATTTAAGTTAGGTGTAAATACTGTACAACGCTAATTACGTTAAAAGAATATGAACGAAAATAAAATAAGATTAAAAAGAAATAAACAAACAAATTGAAAAAGAAAGCGTGATCGCTATGTAATAAACCATACCGGCAGTTCCCTTAGTGCAGCGGCCGCCTTTCCTACGACGGCACATATCATACCTGTTTTGCGAAATAAAAATCAAACAGTATGAAATCACTAGACTGCTGTGGTAAAACGGTAATAGCATAATGTCGGGGCCATAGAACGTATTCGTTATTGCGTGAAATTCGATTGAAATCTCTGCTTCTCAATATTTTTTACACGCTTTCGAATTAATCGTTATCATTTTCCTTTCGAGTTTCACTATTCTTCCACGTATTCGATTAAAAAGAAAACAAGTCGTTTAAATTGTCATTGATATCGAAAGATGAGACAAAAAGGGGAGAGCGAGAAAAGTTGCCAGGGAAGAAGATTTTGTATGTTAATCACGTGAAACGTAATGTGGTAATTAGGTTGAATTTAAAGAAATGCACACTCTTACTTTGTGACAGCGACGGCGATGTCGTACACCGGAAGTCGTCTCTCTCGGAAGAGATATTTGCCCATGTCGGTCAACGCAGCTGCCGAATCGATCGCGTCTCGTCCGACGCGATTTCTTTCCAAATACGGTGTAGCATCTCTGCCCTGAAAGATATCGTTTAAGAAAAAAAAAAAAAGGGAAAGAAAAAGAAAAAGGAGGAGAAAGTTGTGGGAAACGTAACGATTCGTAAAAAAATCATAGTTCGGTAAAAGGATCGAGATGATTAATTGCACTTCACCCGTGATATAATGATTCCAGCGATACTGATGCGGATCTTTGGCCCTTTTAACAGCTTGTACCTTAGGTCTACTCCGTTCCAGAAGGACACGAAGTATCTTTTGATTTGCACGTTATCACCGCCATGTAATCTAGAAGAAACGAATTTAATTATAAATTTTGATTCGATTAAAAATTGAATTGGTATTGATTAAACATTTGTTGTTCTATTTTAACAATCAAACGAAATGCTTCATTAAGAACGTATATAAATAGAGTTGAACCACTCGCTGCTTGCAAACAGCTGCTACATAAGCCAATAATGAATATTACATGTTACATAATACATGTTACATAATATCTCTCATACACTGTGACGTCTTCACATCTATCAAAGAAATAATCTTTTGATATCAGCTAGAAAATTTTAAATATGATAGTCATATTTAAATGATATGAAACATATCATTTTCCTATTAAAAAAAAGGACTATTCCTCGACATAAAAAAGGTATTTTTCAATTTTTTATTTTTCCAAGTAAACTGGATATATCTATGTAAATTCACATTTTTTAAAGCTAAGGATCTAAAATCTAGGCAGAAATTGTTTCATGCTGTAACGGGCACAGTACTTTAAATGTTTTATATATGTCAGAGAAGAGTCAGTAATAGAGTTGTGGGCATTTGATAGACCTCCCTTGGAGTTGGCCGGGTATGAACACTACCGATTCGACAATCAACATACCGATTCGACGATCAACAGCGGCGATTAGGCCCTCGCGACATTAGTGATAGTGGTCTTAGGTTCGATAACGAATCCACGGTCAACGGGAGGATGGATATGCTTGCTCTAAATCAGACGTGTACTGATCGTAAGGCGCTATTCCCTTCCTCGATGAGGTCTCAATCAGGAATGCATCTTCGTCCCAACGACGCCACCGAGACCAACTCTGATGGGGTGTCTAAGTACCCAGGATCCTCGGATCGACGTTGCTGTCGATTGGTCAATTTGGGACAGAAGCTGCCTGTCCGTTTGCAAAACATCTTAATTGCCGAAAAACCCAGGTTTTATAGCGGGTCCTCGGGCTGCCGGGACTTGTGCTGTGTACGTGCCTCAACCTCAGGTATTACTTGTACTAAGGAATCGTTAGCATGATTTACTGTCCGATACCTCTATGGGTAGTTCCTTTAATGAGGGTCATAACACCGCTCCGCACCTTTGTTAGACGGAGCGCTCGTCCCGTTGACCGCGGCTACGTTGGCGACAGGCTGTTGCCCCGAGCCAAAGCTCACTGTCACTAATCCCGGACGGTTACCATCGGCTTGGATAACTGCGATTGTTTCATTACGGCTATAGGAGACTCTAGATTACAATGTTAGGAGGTTATCCTGAAGCTCCAGAGGGGCCCCGGCGTCCTTTCGTCTCCGACATATATTTTATGCATATTGTGCACATTGTGCGCATTCCATGCATTTTGTACCTTTTGTACCTCATAAATCCATAAAAATCCGTAGTCCATTTATAAGCTGCTATCTCTTGAAAGTAAACCAATCCTCACCAACAAATTAACCTTTGCCAATAAATAAGAGTTTTCACCTATATCCATCATAGTCGACGATGCAGAGGATTTCCGGGTAGATCACATACGGTGCTTCCCTCTTTGTTCTGGCGGCGATCGATCGTTTCGATCTGTACCTCTTGGCCAAGTGATCGGGCTCCATCAGCGCTAAAATCGATGTTTAATCACGAGAAACCGATCTCTGGAGGATTTCACCTTCTGGTGTGGTAACACGTAAAGATCACTCACTGAAATCGCTGTACTCGTCGCCGTTTGGACGAGTCACTTTCTTGTACACCACGTGATGGCTCGTGCGCTTCAAGTTCCCTTTACTTCGCGTTACGTTTGGCAGCAACTCTTCTCCGTGAAGATTCGAGTTCTTGTTTACTACTTCATTTAATATCCTATCTGGCAATGGTCGAATCACTAGTTCTGCACCGATATTACCATCCTGGTTCAAATTACATCATTAATTGTTATCTTGTAGAGAATATTTATTTATACTTTATGAGAAACAAAGAATAATTCACATTTTATCATTATTTCTACTGTTAATTAATATATATATATATATCATTGTTAGAAATGGGCATAATTTCATAATAATGGATTAATATTCTCTTATATTCCGATGTAGTTTTTTGTACCAAGTTTCTCTACTGCTTAATATATTTTGTACTGTAGTAGTGTTTTTGTACAGTTATATGAGCTTTCTATTAATTTATGATACACAACAGAAAAATAAATAACGTTATTTAAGGTGAAGTAACGAAGCGAATAATAAATAGAATAAAAATTTTACATAAATAATTATTTGAATAAAACTTTACTTCTATAATATTCGTTCCTGATATCTAAACATTAATAGAAAAAATAAACAATCTAGCTAATTAGAAGCTCTACCGGCATTTCCGGTACCAATAATATGTTTAATCACACGATCAATGAGTTAACGAACTATAATCGGTTAATAGCTTAATCGCGCATGCTTTCTACGTCAATTCCTCATTCGATGGCCAACGACTTCCGCCTGGCTATATGCAATTATCACGACGTGACTAATTTTATCCAACATGAACGTTGGACAAGCGAAAACGAAATACACGTTCCATGGTGGAACAGCCGGTCGATTGGCTGGATCATTGATATTTCCGATCCGGGTACGATCAACATGTTCGATTTGCAGTCCGAGAGAGGTGCATTGGTCACGTCGAGGGAGGGAGAGTGAAAGCGAAAGGTCAGGACACATGGGGTCATATAGAACAACGCTTTTACGGCATTATGTAACGCGGAATGACGATATTTGTTATCTTTGGAATTTATTCTCGTGTGGTTACTTTTGCAAAAGTTAGCAGTATATAAAGAAAATTACATATGGTGGTTAATTCACTTAGTACTAACTGGATGTTTCTTCGTGGCTTTCATTTTTTAGTTATTTTATTATAAATCTGTTATTTCACTTGCGTCATACATGTTTTGTAACTAGCCTGTTGATATTTAGGCAAATTCATATTTCTATAAACACAATTAAAGGAATGGAACCTGGGTAGAAAATCGTTTTACGTATTAAGTATCATATTTTGCATATATTATGTACTTTTGCAAGTTATATGCATTCTGTGCATTTTTGCATCTTCAAATTTCCTGTAGACGCATAAAAATCCATAGCCTACTTATAATATATGTAAAATACTAAATAAAGAGAGAGTTTTCCAATAAATCCAACGAGTAGGTGTTATAATAATTACGGCAAAGTAATTTACATGTCAGTCGCCACAAAATGAAGAGTCCATTTTATTTGATTTTGATTTATGTAGCTTGATGGATAGAAAGAATTGTTTTAATATGAAATGGTTGAGGAAAGAAATAGCCTGAAGGAGATACAAGTTCAACTTTTACAACTTTTACAACTTCTACATATGTACATTTTCAAATTGGTTTCAAAGCTACCAACATCATCGCAATAATTGTATCTTATTACAATGCTAATGAAATTTCAAAATTATAACTACATTTCATAGCTAGATTCATACAAATCTTTTATAGCAACTGTTTAAATGCCTTCGTGAACCACTGTAGGGAAACAATACACATGTTTTCTTGTACGCATAATTGTGTTGTGATATGATATAGCCTTTCCTTATAATTTATACTTTTTAACATACATATGTCAAAGTTGGTTTTCAAAAATTTGTTGGCACTTCTCTCGAACACTGTACAATATGTTTCATCCTACGCAGCGATTAACCGATCGTTGTCAAGGACGACGTCCTTTCAACTGATTTTTGATGTATGAAAGTAATAAAAAAAAGCTGTAAGCTGCGAAATTTTTGTTGCACAGGAGAATACTCTGGTGATACAGAGAATGCTAATTTTAGACCTGAATTTTCAATGAATTGCTGCATAATGTGCACTCGATGTGCCAAGGAGTTATCTTGGTGAAAGAATCGGAATTCCTTTTGTGAACAATACGGACACAGTTTTTTCAGTTGCCAATGGAAAATTTGTAACGGTTGTTTTCCCGATATTTGGATTTATTTCTGTAACTATTTCATATTTTATAAAACAAATAAAATCTTTCCTTTTTTTCTCTTATTGGGCAGCAACCAAAATTTATAAAGAAAAGAAAAAGCTGTTTATTCATGTTTTTCTTGGAAAATTTACGAGGATCCATATTCATAAATTTTATGTTCAAATTATTGGTAATGAATATTTAGAAATTTAATTGACTTCTTATTTCAAAAACGTCTGTAGACTTACACGTGGATTTCTATAAATTGCATAATTTGCAAATTTTAATAAATTTATTAATAAAATAATTTGTTTTACCTGTGTAGCATTATATAATAAAAGCATATCATTCATTAATATCATGGCAAACGATCACGATTTTACAATGCTACCTCGTGTGAATTTATTAATCGTATCGCTTGGTCAAAAGAACAATATTCATGATCATAAATGAAATCACTGTCAAGGGGAGATCTCTAATCGTTTTCACCGAAGAATATAAATCTGCAATAAAACAATTCGTTTCTTTCACGCAATTATATAATAACGATCATTTTATTGATTACCAGACTAAATTTCTCTTTTTAGGAATTCTACTGTTTTAAACAAACGCAACGATCTTCCTACATTCATACATGACTTCAATTGAATTTCTTTCCCTTGAACTATGCTTTCAATCGTCACAATAGCTGTAGTCAATGCTTCAAGAGGATTTCTAATTGTTTTCCACACGTAAAATTCTCCATAAAGGAAGAACCACAAGAACATAAATTCACCGACAATTTGTTCCTTGATTGACTTATAGGCTACAATATACTCAGTTTCTATAATAAAAGCAGCAAATGAATGACAATTTCATCAGCTCATGCGTCGAGTTTCAACCAAGTAACCAAGAAAGATAATTATTTGTTGTTATATGTAAATAATATATATGTATTCTATTATTATACTGTAATATAATAATTAGTAAATAGTGTAATATTTCATCGTTTGTGTAATTCATTGTTTTAAACAGAAAAGTCTTGTTAAAATGAATATAGTTATATAGTAATACAGTAATATAGTTACTTGTGTCTCTTTTTCCTACAAGAAGCAATTAAAACGTTTTGCTAATTTGCTGTCAGACTCAGACTTAGCACTTTAGAATCTATAAGATATGCTAATCTACAATTAAAGACAATAATTAATATGAATCAATTACAAACTTCTTTTCTTATCTTTAAATCTTATCTTTAAATAATACATTGCAAAAAAACGAAATATGAAAGAATAAAACAAGTAAATGTGTTGGCGAATCCAAATGCAGTCTATGCATAATCTCCATAATTTATTTATGAAGTCTACTAATTTTTGTCTACAGAAGAGAATTAATACAAGTTTAAACCAACATTTCTCAAAAACAGGATGCGAAAGAATAAATCCGCTAGCAGATGCAAATTGAGCAAATTAAAGTTTATAAAGTATGACGATCATCTTGCATGAAAAAGGGCCAGAACATATCAATTACACGTGTACGTTTTTTTTTCTAAATTACTTTTCGTCCCAACTGTAAACCTTCATTTTTCGAAAATACGATTAATATTATGTAATGAACAAAACAATGAACAATTTGTTGTTAACAGGATAATCTTTGTATGAAAATATCCCTTCACTTATCATTCATGACTTTGTCAACAGGTTTCAGACAATTCGATGAATAAGTAGCAGCTTTGGCAATAGTTTTGTGTCGGGAATTTTTTTCCTTACGACTTCATAAGAGATCGAAATTCCCAAGTAAAATTAAGTCTTGGTTGGTTGGAGGCGCAATCATTGAGAACGGCTGCCTTCTGTTCCGAGCTGCCCACTGTTCTGAAAGGTGCAACCGATATGGAGAATTTTATTGCTTTTTTCCTTGGTTTTGCCCAAGCAATATCTTCGTAGTGCACTTTGTGTGAACCGCGGACGAAGCAGCGATTATCGGAGCTCGAAATGGAAATGTCAAAACGATCGCGAAATGCCATTTTCTGCAACTTTCTATTGAATCTCGTTTACGTGTAACCGTTTTGGTAGTAGCAAATGGTACTTTTGTAAAGATGCTTTTAGGTTCGCCTCCGCTTTGTTAACGTTCTAAAAGAATATTCATGGATGTAATATTAAAATTGTCTCGTGACTACGTAAGTGATGCATAATTACGACATATGATACATATGATACATGTGATGTCTGGAATGTTTGTCCGTCTCAGAAAGTTAGATTCTTTTTCAGATCTTTGAGTGACTGATATTTACTTGTTAATAACACAGTGGAAAAAGGTTAGCCAGTTATATGAAATCTAGATAAAAAGGAAAATTATGTGTGTAATTATAATTTACTTAATCCTCCTATTGCAATTTCAAATTTAAAGAGTCAAAGGATAAACCGAATACGGTTAATTGTAGCTTAACGTATTAAAATGTTTATGTAATCTAGCAGCAAAAAAACGAGTACGATCTCTGTCTCGCTAAAATACAAAATAATTTGCACAAACTTCTTTATCCAAGCAATCCTGTTTCCCTGTTAATTTCGATACTAAATGTTCCATTGTACAAATATGCCCACTTCCATTCACCAAATTCCAAATTCCAAAGAATTAATTCCCTAGTCACAATTTCCCAACGTCATTTACCATTCGTCTTTGGTCAACCATTCAAAATTGCATCGATTATCCGCGTAACAAAAATTCTTTCAGCGATTACGCATAAATTTTCTTCTTCTAAGCATTTCGTGAAATTGCTATACTTTTGCTTTACGGACTACTGGACGTTCTAACTTGTAACTACGGCGGGCAGCCTTCCTAAGCGTGGCCCTGCTAGTTGTCCCCAACGAATCGCGGTATTGCGATAATTATAACCAAGACGAGTTCCTAAGTGAGTCGCGACGGTTGACGAAAGACGAGTCGCAATAATGGCGGGAATGTCGAAAGGTACATTAAGAAAGAATGGCCTCTTACAACGAGCACTTTCCCATTCGCGTCCCGGTGCAGCAGAATTGACGCCATGTTCGTCGTGTCTTGATAGATGTCACCGATATCTACGTCGGCCTGAAACGAGAAGAACAATTACATACAACGTGATCGCAACGTGCCTGGCCATATGTAACCGATTTTATGCGATTTACACCATTTAAAGGAATAATGCAAACTCGTGAGCCTGAGGAAAAATCGCGTCGCTGTGAAAAGGTCTCGCTTCTTTTTTCACTATGTATGATACATAATATCGTTTCGAGCAAAATGTCGGGTAGCATGAGAATGCAACAGGGATGGGAGGAAAATATTGCAAAATTAAAAACACAACGTTGTGAAAGTTAAAAAGTTGTAAGATAGGGTTGATCGTACGATGTCTTGTAATTCATGCTAGAATTTTTCTTATGCGTTGTTTTGAAACAAATTTTAGGTGATTAAGTAGTAAGGTGATAAGAAGAGAAAGAATTTAAGAATAAGTCAATATTTTAAGAATAACCATTTTAAAATAAATAAAAGCCATTGATTAATTATGTGGGATATAAATCTGGAAAATCTGGAAAGAAGAAAATCTGAAAACTTTGAAATGATATACATGCGTGGTACGTTTAACAGTGGAGGAATGTTACTGAAAGGAAATTTCAGAGAAACGAAGCTGCTCATAAATAAACATCTCTTAAAGAATAAAAGAGCTAAGGAGGAAAATAAAAATGATTTTTTCGTGACGCACGTTGAAAACTTACATTCGTCACCTTTTCATAGTGGAGGCCACCAGGTTGCGACGCGTTCTTCGTGACAGTCCACATAGGCAAGTGGTTCGCTGTCAGCAACCCTTCCGTAGGCTTCAGCGACAGACTGATGTCCTTGCCGAAGGCCTTCAGGTGTATCTCCGGCTTCTCTGTACTTCTCTTGTGCATTGAATGCAACACAGGTATAACTTCGTACGTCGGTACTAGAATTGAAACGCGATATGTCGTCTTTACTGGAAATGACTTTTTACCACTACAGCAAAGATTAATGCAAGTATTGCGTGATGTTAGGTTGACATATCAACGATATCTGGTTTCGCACTTTCTTGCTAAAAATTACAATCCACAAATTTCGATTATTACAATGTAGATGCATACGGCTTAAGATTGTTGTCCTCGTTAAATATAATTCAAGATCGTGGATGCTATTGATATCGATATTAAAATTTATAACTCGAAATTGGCGGTACACAATGCAAATCATTCTTGTTACGACATAATGTACTGGTATACTTTGATACACTAAAAGCGATTCAAAATCATGAATATTCAGGTTTGTAGATCGAAGTCCGCGAAGGTATGATAATATGTAACTTTGAATCATTATGTCTCGAAATATATAATATAATACCTGTAGCAACGTTTTGTAGTTAACAAATGTAGCTATACTACCGGTCAAAAGTATTAGTACACCTGGCTATGTTTATTAGGAAATTCTAAATAAACTTTATTTGTATATTACATTAAAAGGCATATGCGTATAATGCAAATGAAATAATAGATTTGTAATAAAGTCCGTTACTTTCGATCTTTTATTACAACGTGTTTGAAAGTACGTGGACTCCTACGTCAATTATCTTTCTACGTCAATGACTTTTCCGACATTTTATATTTAATTACGACCCACTATTTCTCTTAGTCTATGCCACATGTTTTTAGACAGATTATAATATTTTTGATAAAATTATTCAACATATTTTTTAAGAGCATAAATAAGTAGAAAATAAAAGCAGTGAAAGGTATTCAATTTCTACAAAAATATCTATACGTTTCTTAATATTTATGGTCGGCAGTGTGCTAACGAACTAAATATTTATTTCATTGTATGTATATTCGAAACTGTGTTTTATCCAATCAACAGTAAACTAGTGCAATCTCTGTCGGAATAATAACGATACCGTTCCGCAATTTTCACCATTAAGAAACTAATGACAGAGTACAATAGCAAGAAAATTGAATTCAACGAATTCCGTTTTGTGGCAAGGCCATCGGCGTGCAGTGAATCGAGTTCAGATTGAATGAAAAGACAACTGTCTACCGCTAATTATTAAATTTTTTTTCACCGTGATTACCAGACTCGTGTCCCGTGTGAAACACCGATAACATCTCCTCCCTTGTCATGTGTTCGTGGATCTGCAACAAACAAGAAATTCATCGTAAGTATGTGCTTTACGCTTCGTACTTTATACTTCTTCGTGATGAAATGCTTTCGTGCATGCAAGGAAAGAACGTTGATATTCGCGTGACGAAAGGTTAATGAAGGGATCGGTGCAACTGCTTCAGGTATTTTAATTGTTTAAGATTCAAAGATTAGAATTAGGATTTCTTTTTAATACGAAGATAACCGGAGAAAAACAATATGTCACGTTTCTATCTTTTTTTCTTGCAGATTTCGAAAAATCACCATCGTGTTTGCTCATTTAGAAGGAAAGAATCCTTTCAAATAAATGACATTTTTTATTTGCTTATTTTTTTATTAAATTTTTGTTTCTTCTATCTCGCTGAGCATTTAAAAAATATGTCTTGTTATAATAAAAATATTCTTAGTTTTCTTACAACGTATCGTACATTTTTTAAGTATTAAAAAAATTTTCTTTTTGGTTTTGACACTATATTCCCCTTTTCACTTATGTTACATTTAAGTACCAAGTATATATACGAGTATAAATATTACTAAATTTATGAACGACGACGACGAAATAGCGAGTTGCATGTAATCATTTGGTTAGCAGAAAGTTATTTTCCAGAAAGACATTTCGAACACGGAAGTATCATTCTACAATTTATAGTTTTGGCCAAGGTAATTTTCTTATTGCTAGTCATTATGTAATTTTCCAAATTTTGAACAGGCACGATGAACGTCAGTTTGATGCTATTAATTTCGCTTTCTTCGCATTATTGGGATAGTTTCTCGCCGAGTAGTATTGTTCCCGGCCAAGTACGTCGTGTTGAAATATCGAGGAAAAGGTAATCGTGGTAGTATCATGGGAACTATAGCGCGTAATAATAACACCAAGAAACAAGTCCGTTACTTTCGATCTTTTATTACAACGTGTTTCAGAGTACGTGGACTCCTACGTCAATTACCGTAATGTAATTTTCCGACATTTTATATTTAATTACGACCAATTATTTTCCTTAGTCTATGTCACATGTTTTTAGACAGACTATAATATTTTTGATAAAATTATTCAACATATTTTTTGAGAGCATTAATAACCATTTCTCTGCGACAAATTTCTGCAACTTTTTAAATTTTTCAGCCTCTAGAGTCTTCTGATTTTCAAATTTGTAAATATCTCGCTCCTCCAATCTTTTAATCCTCAAATTTTTCGATTTCTAAATTTCGAAACTCTCCAAGTGTACAAATCTTGGAATCTTAGAATTTCTGAAGTTTCCTCGAATTGTCAAATTTCTGCAACTTTTTAAATTTTCCAGCCTCTAGAATCTTCTGATTTTCAAATTTGTAAATATCTCGCTCCTCCAATCTTTTAATTCTCAAATTTTTCGATTTCTAAATTTCGAAACTCTCCAAGTGTACAAATCTTGGAATCTTAGAATTTCCGAAGTTTCCTCAAATTGTCAGATTTCCAATCTTTTAGTCTTTTTCAAACCTGCAAATTTTGCAGCGTCCCACTTCTCGCATTTCTAAATCTCCAAATCCATCAATCTCAAAATTTCGATACTCTCCAAATGTACGAATTTTCCAATTTTCCAATTTTGAATCTTTCCAACCTTTAATCTACCAATCTGCAAATCGTTAAAGCCCCGAATTTGCGAAATACCCATCGGAATAATTAGGTCTATCCACTTTCCTCGGTGAGAACAAAAAACACTTTCGCAAAACATGGATGTAATCGCACGTCGCGTCATCGTACCTTATAAAGCTATTTCCATAAAACACTCAGGCAACGCCCCATTTTTTCACTCAATTGCGGCAATTGCACGTATTAGCAAATCGTGGTAGGACAGTTTCATTACGAGTTGCTTTGTCGCCGCCAAGTGCATGGCTAATTGGCTGCTGTTGCGAGGACAATGATCAACAGTCGTCGGGACACATGCACTGTGAATAGTTCAAGCACGGTCGCCACGGTCCCGCAGATAATCGATGCGTGTGCATTTCAAAGATTTTCCAATCGCGGCCCAAGGTCTGCTTCTACCATTTAAGAACACCTAACCACGTATATAACGTGTCACAGAAATCGAGTTGCAATTAACTATCGCGCTGCCTGACGGTTGCTAAGGTCGATTACTTTCACTCATTATGTTAGGAAATTCGATCGCGTGCAATGTCCTATTTGCGCTGTTTACCGGTCTGAATGCACAAATTGTACCATTACTGTTTACTCTAATTGCAGCTTTCCTGGAAGAGAATGGTCTCTGCATCGCCATCACGGAATTACAAAGTGGTATCGTAGAGTAAATCAATTAGTAATAGGTATTCTGTGTGCACGTGTGTCTTTGAAGTTAATGAGGATCCCATTCTCGGAATCGACAGTATTAACCTTTAGCTGGTATCGTTAAATTATAGACGACGAACTTAAATTAGATTTCGAGTTACATTATTTAATAAGTTGTTTTCACGCCATTAAACAAAATCGTTAAACTTACGTATAAATTTTAATATACAATAGAATTACTTGTAAGGAATTTTAAAGGAAAAGGAAAAAAGAACAAATATCATATCATCGTAAAACATAAATAAAGTATATATATTAATTTCAGAAATGAATAGTAACTTGCAGAATACAAACTAAAATGAAATACACAAACATTAAAACGTTAATTTCACTTCATCCAAACTGTTGTAGGCTATTTATGACCTGATAATACCAATCAAAGATTAATTAATCCTGCTACGTTCTTCCGATCATTCTCGACCCAATCGTATCTTTTTAATATTGAGAAATATCTTCAATTTGAATAAAATATCAAAGAAATCTTATTGCTATGCGTGATTTCTCGTTTCAGGTTTACCTTAAACATTAATCACAATTAATTAAATAAAAAGTAACTAGTAATTAATCAATTAGTATTTGCAGAAACCTACTCCATAATTTAATATTTCAATATCATCAAATTTGGACAATTCGACGTTTCTTTTCTCGATTCGCGGAAAATCGAATGTGGTCGAAAGTTAATTCCCCATGCGTTTCCCAAATGGTGGCGTTTAATTTGTCTCGCTACAAATTCTCATGATTTTAATGACGCGACAGACCGTTTGATCGGAAAACCGAGCAACGCAACCGCGGCGCAGTTAAAGAACCGGATTTACTCGAAAAAGATCCGTATCACCGTGTCGTTCTCCTAATTGTATGCGTACTACGAAGCCGGAGCACGATTTCCCTCTTGAATGGCAAACACACGATTGCCGAGCCATGAAGCAGCTTGCATTTGCCATGGTCGATTACCAGATAAACAACCGCGAACCTTTGACGCTCGATTTTTCTTATTTTATTGCAAAACGTGATTTTGAAAGGAGTGGTCGGCTCAGAAATTTAAATTGTCGGATGCAAAAGCGATTCTGATCGCGTGTACGGCATTCTTAACAAAAAGAGTACAACGATACTGTAGTAAAATAATAAGTACAGATAATTAATTAAAAGAAAAATTTAAATTTTGAGCCATGACGAATGTTTAAACATTTAATTGGTAATTTAGTAATTATAAATATCACAGGTTGATGGGTTATATTTAAAAATTAAGTGTGGATATACATAGTATGTGTAAATTTAACGTGATTAATTTTAACATTACTTTTAGTATTACTTGCTGTATAGGGTCGAGATTTACAGTAATTACAGAGATTTTTGTTTTTTTTTATTATTTATTTATTTACATTTTACAATTTGTTCAGTAGGACATTTGGTAAAATATTATAGCTTAGTGATATAGCAATATAGCATGTGGATGGCTACCCTCAGTGGGATACCATCTTCGAATTGAGATTTTTGTTGAATAACTCTTCGATGACTCTTAAATGCGTACAAAGAATTTTTCTGCTCTTTGTCCCAAAGAGATCAGAGACTTCTTTGTCCGTATTGAAGCTCACGAAGAAAATGGAATATCTATGACAAATGCCCTGATATCTTAACAACTTATCTTGACATATCTTAACTTTTTCATCAGGAAGTTATGTAATAACACACTGATTCGCAGACTTCTAAAACAGGTGGTTCATGATAAAAGCAATCACAGTAGGACAAACGCAGTAAACGCGACAGCTAATACTTTAATAAATAAAGCGTCTGGTGCTTGATACACAACACAGAAGTCCACGATTTGCGAAAGATGATAAAAAGATGTTGAATACCTACAGTATGATATAAAGCTACAGCATAAAGATAATTCAAAACGCGCAGAAATATCACTTGGATTTTCCCCAACTCCTGAAACTTGATAACGAAGATCCCAGACTGGTGTCGTATAAGATAAGCACGTGTTTCCCGGATTGCAGAATCAACTAGAGACAATCTTAAATTTATAGAACACGATGTAAACAAATGATTGTGCTCTTCCCAGAATATTAGATATGTTATCATCACCAGTATGATTGCTATAGCTTCTAACACTGATTGCCTCTTTTGAGTTAGTTACTAGACTTTTCGGAGTCATAATTACTAGACAGCAGTCACATTACTACCAAGAACATATCACAAAAATAGAAAAGTGGCTGCAAGTTAAACAAATTAAAGCAGACCCCAATAAATGCAACTATATTACATTCACACTGCGAAAACACATACCATCAAACATCTTTCTGAACGACACGCACATAATTCAAACAAGGCAAGTCAAATACCTAGAACTCCACATAGATACAAAACTCATATGGAAACAGCATATCAAATTAATAACAGATAAAATATAGACAGCAAGGAGACAAATGCATTGGCTAACAAGTCGAAAATCCAAACTAAGCATAGAAAACAAACTAAAAATATATAAAATGGTCATAAAACCAATCTGGACATACGGAATACCACTATGGGGAACAGCAGCAATGATCCATATAAGCAAAATAGAGACAATGCAAGTTAAAATTCTTAGAACAATAGTAAACGCTCCATGGTGCGTTAGAAACGAGGACATTCGGAAAAACTTGGGAATACCAGCAGTCAAGGAGGAGATTA